TGCCTGCAACGCTGAGAGAGCATTTCGGGATTAACCTTCCTGGGTTGTACCTGCACACTGAGTTGTGATAAAAACTAATGAGGATTAGGTATGCATCTGCTTTCCTCATGGCGGACTGTCAGTCCATGTATTGACTGTGTATTTTGTGTATTTTATTTTCACTCTCTTCAGCTTATCCAAGCCTTGCTTTGCTTGCCTTCTGCCTCCTGTCTCTCTCTCTCTACCTTTACCTGGTCGTCTGTTATTTTTCTCTCCCGGTCTCCCCTCTGTCTTCCTTGTTTATTATCAGAGTTTAGTTTCTGGTTCATGTTGTCCCACTGCTCACCAATCAGCAGTTAAATTTGATCCTTCAATTTCCGTCTATTTGTGAGACATTGCTGTGCATAAATTGGCTGCCGAGTTGACTGACAAATTACACAGTCAATACACTATCAGTAAATACTGTGAAGCACTTTGAGACGTCTGGCTGATGTGAAAGACGCTTACTGTACCGTCCCAGCTGCTCCTTTTGTTCAACAGTCACCAGTCTGCTTCATGTCCCCCGCCTCACCCTTCCCACTATCAGCAGTTGGGCTTTCAACTGTCTGGACCCCCTGTCTGTGACGCCATCTTGGAGTCTCTCCAACTCAACCCTCCCTCACCTCTTTCAAGGTCCATCTCAAGACCTTCCTCTTTGACTGGCCTTCAGTCATCATTCCCCTCCGCAACCCCGACCCCTTGTAATCCTACCCTCAACTCGGGTGCCAAGACAGGACTGTCATGTACCATGGGATGTCTTTCCGACATGAAAGATGCTATATATAAAAATGTAAATTTGTATTGTATTACACATCAAATACAATGATTATTATTTAATTACCTGCTGCTATTGCCCATCAATTATGAATTAGCCAAGATAGCTGCCTGGCAGTCATGATTTACCAACTGCTGCGGCTTAAAAAGTTACCTTTTTTCTTTACACACTCTGTATGGTGAAGTATTTACTAGTGCTACACTAATTTGAACCTAATGCTTCCTACCACCATTGGCTTCTACAGTTCTGATAATTTATCCAGCGAGTTTGGCACAAACGCCTGTAAAGACGGCAGATTTTAGGAACCCCATCCTGTATCAGTACTTGTGCTCAGAATCTTAAACTATACAGTTTTTCATATAGATAGAAGCCTTAAGTTCCTCACCAGCTATTATTGTGGCCTCACTGACTTTCATTCCTGTCAGTCTGGTTGAATTCAATTCCAGTATCTGGTAGTTTACTTATCCAACTGTCCCATTTTAATACAATGATTTGTGTAAAATATCAAGGAGAATTTCCTACTTTTCCTAAACAAAACAAATTATCTTTGAATAGAATTGAATAATAATGCGTAAAATATATTTTCTGCAAAGCGGACATTAAATCGCTCAGCACACGGGAGTCGTACATTGAAAAAAGTACATTTTCCTCTTTACACACATGTCACATCATTTCACCCACAAAATTCACAGTCAAACTACTTTACAGTATATTCTGTGAAGCACTTTGAGTCGTCTCAACAATGTGATAAGGCGTTATATCAAATACAAGAATTATTATTATTATTATGTCTTAGGCTCCATCCATGTTAAATTTAAGTGCATCTCTTCAGGGGGTTTGGGGATTAATGCCAATAATCAACACAGCTGCCAAGGACCATTACAGTACAGGCCAAAATAAGATTGTCCTACAGCAAGGGAGAGAATGTTCTGACGTGATAAGGCACTATATCAATTGCAAGTATTATTATTATAAGATCAGATAGTGTTTTATCCACTGGATTTGATCTAATAAACTATTCAACTACAAAATACAGTCACTACATTTTATAGAAAATCCTGTGAAGTGTTTTCCGACATAACAGGCGCTGTATCAAATGCAAGGATTATTAATAGCGATAATGTAAAATAAATAGGATAGTAAACCAAATGACTTGTGAGAACAAGGCAATTCTGTTAAATTGGTTGGAACTTTGGCAAGCATTGTGCGCACTATTTTTCCGAGATGGGTTAATAATAATCATTTCATTTGATATATTACCTTATTACATTGTCGAGACACGTTAAAGCGCTTCACAGGACACACTATAAAGCTGTGCATCTGTTGTGGGCGACCGCAACAGCCGATTTGCGCAATGCCCGGTCCCACAAACAGCCACGGAGTGAAAGTAGATTGCAGTGTGTGGGGCAGATGGGGATCAATAGATTTTTTTAATGCAACTGGCTAATCGTGTGTGTAAAAAAAAAAACTAGAAAAATAGTCTTTCCAATTAAATATGGAATTGAGATTCTACAAGATGTTTCGTTTTAATTTAATACATAATGAGTCACAAAAAATATCCTTTTAAAATTAATGACTTTGGTGTGCTCTTTAGCTAAACAAAATGCAGGCATGATAGAAAGTCGCAGTGTATATGATAGTACATGTGTTTTTCTTAACAAATGAATTTTATATTCCTCCTGCCTTTTAGGTAATATGTCTTTTTCCTCAGTAATAAATGCCTGACAGGACTCTATAATTAGGCCTGAGCCAGCTTGGGAGGCTTCAGGGGATTTGACCTGCAATTCCCTGTCCCTCTGGGTGTGTAAGTAAAAGCCAAAACACCTGGAATGTCACACCAGATGTGCAGACCTTGAGCTCCTCTCCATAATTACAATATGTCCGTTTTCCTTTTCTCTCCTATTTTCCCAAGATATTCCCAATCATTCGGAAAATAAAACAACTCTCTTAATATTTTTTTTAGGGGAGCTATTTTGACTTATCAGAATTAGCAGATATACTACACTACAGCAAGTAGCATTTGTATGCAATGGAGAAAACACAAAAGGTTTTTGGAATATTCTCATGAATATGTTACTCATTTTCAGTTTTTTTTTAACTAAGTTTCACTGATATTTCACAGATTTGTATCTGAAAATTAGCCAATTTCATCCTTTGTACCTCTTCACCTGCACTTGGAAAAGTGGCTGAGGCAGTTTATGGTATTTTCTAATCTTTTCTCTCCAGCATATCATCAAACATTAAAAAAAACTGTCAACAACCCTTCACAGTCCTGGGCTGGAATAATGCATAATATAGCAATGCCCGAGGATCCATATTCAGTCTGGGACTTAAATTATTCAGTCTGGGACAGTGAACAGTTAAATGTGAATACTGTTATCCTTGGTGGAAGATACCTCCATGTCGTTAGAATAGGATCTCGAGTTCTTTACCAACATACATTATTATTTTTACCTTTGATTCCTTTGCAATCTATTGTTTCCCCCAAAGCAGAAAATAATGATTTTCTAAAGTTCACACATTCTGTTGGAAGTTCTCCCCCGAGTTCATAGTGTTTTTTTTCCCTGGCTCCTAATGCACCAGGTCGGCTGGGCTCATGCATTATTTCTGGAGCCCAGAAGGTATCTCAAATGGAACGCTACCAAGCCAAATAAGACCTTCCAGTAACATTAATAAAAGTGCATCACAGTGAAACCAAAACTGCAAGATTCTGTTTGTCATAGTGCCTCCATGATTAAAACATTCAAAAGTGCAAAGAGTTAGTGGGAGGGATCTTGCTGTAGGCTTTTCTTTTAGTGGATTCCGTTCCCATGCTGGTGGATGGTTCGGAGATGGCAGCGTATTAGTGCTAATACACTATGACTCTAATTACTGGCACACTATAACAGTGAAAACATTAATAGCCACTGGCTCCACTCAATCCAGCTCGCAGAAAATGAGCTTTGACACAGAGTTGGCGCTTGAACCTCAAGGGGGAGTTGCATTTAAGCTAAACTGGGAAACCGAAGAAAACACAGAAAGAGCAATGTGGGGAGGGTTCAAGAGAGAAAGAGATGGAGAGAAACTAAGGCTGCACTTGGGGATTGAGAATTTGAAGATGAAGATTGCACCAGGGAAACAAGGGGTTAGAGAGGGGAGAGCCTGAGACACAGGCAAGAGAGTTATTATTTTCATGTGAACTTTGGTCCCTGGGGATGGAAAACAGATGGAAGCTATTTTTCCATTGCCATGGTATGACACCCAAGTAATGCGACAATGTCTCTGTGACAAAATAATGGGATCTAGAATGAGATAAGTTTCTAACAGGGTTCCTTAATATGGAAACCGGAAATATGTCAGGAACAATTCTCGGTAACTGGGCTCTGATACAATTTGCTGTCAAAATACAGGGTTTCATAAAGTCCTGTTACCCTCATGATTTTTTTCTTACAATGAATTTTTATTTTCTATTGCAGTCGAATGATACCAGTCATCCATATTATGGAAGATGTCATACCGAACATGGCGATGGATCATTATTTGTTATGAAAATGATGATGCTTACAGTAATTCCCTGGACGTCTAAATGCAGTTAATTGTACTGAATACAATTAAGTACTTCTACATACAATTAAGTACTTCTACATACAATTATCATCATTCTTCCATATGTTTCAGTTGTAGGGTCAGTGCACTGTAGAAAAAACATGGGGATAACAGGACTTTGTGAACACCCTGTAGAATACCTGCAGGTTGGTGAGATGTGTGTATGATGTATTTCTGGTTCCCGGAAGGAGTTCCTATTTTAATTCTTTATTAAGGAAATCATTGCATATTAGACTCCAATGTATTTTCATAAAAGCACATAAAGAATGTTTGCAGAGAAAACACAGTCTCTCCAAGTTATAATACATAATATATTCTATGAAGCCCTTCGGGACGTCCTCCTGACGTGAAAGGCGCTATATCAAATACAAGCATTATTCTTTGGGCGAGGTACACAAGAAGCTGCAAGCGCTAAGCAACTAAATCCAGCAAGAGTTAACATCCTTGGGACAGTGGAAAAGAGATTCTTTAGAATTTAAATTGCACAGAAGAATAGATAAAGACAAGTTGGACAAAAGGCAAGACCCAGGTACCCACATATATTGAACAGATAGATAAATGTATCTATAGTCAAACACTGGAATGAATAATTAGCAGCAAGCGGCCAACTCTGTGAGCTTACCTGGGGGTTTAACCTTTACTTCCAGAGGATTTGAGGATTTACTGGCTTTTTTGATCCATTGGTCCATGTGGTTTCTGTGCCAGAGTTCAGCGACGCACTGGTATCGACCAGCCTCCAAATCGCTGGCTTTGGAGACGCTCAGACGGACAATATTGGACGCCGATTTCGTTATCAATGTTTTTGTCTTGAAGTTCGCCATCTCGTCACCCCACGCAATGGTGGCGTCGTGGGTAAAAGTGACCAGTTCATAGCTGGGGCCGGATCCGCCGGGCTGGAATTTCCATGTTACGGACACCGGCACTCGGGAAGGAAAGACGGGTCGGATGAAGCACTGCAGCTCAAATGTGTGATCGTAGACGACTGATGGAGTTCGGGTTATTGCGGTTACTGAGAAGCTGGATTCTGTGATTAACATAAAAAGCATCAGTGTTGATTCCCGCGTTCGAAACACAAGCTTTAGAATTCATTAAGCAACACATTCCCACGCTGAAATGTCCCTGTTCAACTATGGAGCTTTAGCAATTCTCCAGCCCCATAACACATAAAAAACGGTTAGAAATGAGTAATAAGATCTCCTATGTTATAAAACACAATATCCGATAAACACGTACCATTTGCAAGAGGAGTAGCAATTAAATGTGGCTTCAGAATTCTGTATTCATGAAGCAGGAAAATGCCACAGTTTCTCATTGCGAGAATTCTCCGTTGGCGTCAAACATTCCTAGTTTAGTCACAGCACAGCTAGATACCGAGGAAGCTCCTTTATCTCTTCCTCAACAAAGGAGTCAAAGTGTATCATATAAATAAAACAAAAACTTTTCACTTCTTGGAAATTCCATTACAAGCCAACAGCAGACCTTTTCTTTTTAAAAAAAGTGATCAGCGTATGATATTGAGGCCGCAAGTCGGTCGGTGTATGACGACATTCGATCTTGAAGCCCTCTGACTGGCTCCCTCTCCTTCTCTTTTTCAAGACATGTGTGACCGCAGTTTTGATCATCTTTCCTTTCCCCCCGCCCTCAGCCCGTGTCCTCTCCCTCACCAGGCTCCGCGACGCTATCACCCCCATCCCCGCCTAACTCCACTGGCTTCCCATCACATAGAGGATACAGTTTAAGATCCTGGTCCTCACCTTCAAGGACCTCCATGGCCTTGCTCCATCCTACCACTGCAACCTCCTAACCCCCTTAACAACCTCTCCGCTCAGCGAGCACCGGCCTGCTTCACGTCCCCCCCACTTCGCCGCACCACCGTTGGTGGGCGGGCCTTCTGCCGCCAACCTCTGGAACTCCATCCTGCAGTCCGTCCGTCTCGCCCCCTCCCTTGCCTCCTTCAAGATCCGTCTAAAGATCCACCTCTTTGACTGTGCCTTTGGTCACCCTCCCCCACCCCTGACTTCCACCCTCCCCAATCCTGACCTCCAGCTCGGGTCCGAAATATTGATTGTCCAGTGCCTTGGGACGTCTTCCTGACCTGAAAGGTGCTATACAAATGTAATGTTGTTGTTACGCATCCAGCACTCTCAAGTTCTGCCACTGTTAAGCGCTCTGAGATGCTACCTGTGTGCAGGGTGCTATATAAATGCAAGTTGTTTTTGTTGTCCTCTCAACATGAAAGGCACTATATAAATGTAAACCATGTTAAGAACAGTTTGTGTTATGAGCTCATGCTCACTCAGAACTGGGTTGAGCCTATTCATACTGATTTCACATGAGACCTTTACAGTTGCTAAATTATGCAGCTTTTGCCCCCATCTGTCTGTGTTAACATTTCAATCCGGCTTCCATTAGTGAAAAGTCGATGTTCTCATACATAATAAACTTAGAAGTTAGACAGTCAGGGCATTTATCATAACATTGTGGCCATGATACATCTTGTGTTTAGTTTAATAAAAACATACTTCTGAAATTCCACATAAACATCACCAGTGCCTTTCCTTCTCATTAGCTTCCCATATTGAAGCTTACCAAGAGGAGTTACTGTGGCTACAGCATGGTCTGAGTGCTTCCCTATCCTCTGCCAATCTCCATCCGTGTTCATGACCCACTCTGCCACCGTGCAAACGTATTCCCCGTCATCAGAAACCATAGCGTTGCGCACTACCAGCGTGAAGCTCTCTGGCCGCACTCTGGCCAGCCTGACTTCCCCGCTGGCCCCGCGGACCCGGTACAATGTGCCAAGCAGCTGGGTGCCGTCTCGGTCCAGGCTGATGATGTCTGTGGTCTGCTTCTGTTTGTTTATCAGCTGCCACACCACAGTGAGCTGCCTCCGATTCCTCTTCGCTGAACGGACGTTGCAGACAAACTCCAGCAAGTCGCCTTCTAAAACCCTGGTCGTGTTACTGGTGACAACCACGCTCAGGTCGCTCTCTGATGGAGAAAGAAGATACTCTTAGTTTAACTGGGACTCGTAGAACAACAATAAATCCTGCACTGGTGGGGGAGGGGGCAGTTTAACTGAACTCATCTCTAGCTGTTATTAACCTCTGAGCTGGGAGAAAAGCCAAAATGTACAGTACATTAAATATTAAAGGGATAAACATCCTGATATTCTGACATTATGTTTGGACCCGAGACCGCAGTCTTGGTATACAAATGTAAAGCTTAGCGTTTGATATGGCTGACTCTCAGCTGAAGAGAAATTCCTCCCTGGTCTGGATTTAATCTATTTTCTTAACATTTCAGAGTGTCCAGAATTGGGCAAATTCTTAAGCACAGCATTTAATTTTGAAGCCAGTTTTCTTTAATCTCTCATATATATATGCAACTTGCTGTAAGTTTCTTTGAAGAACTTTACAGAAAACAACTTCGAAATTACTACTGAATTCTACAAGTTTCCAGATATGGAATGCTCTGAAATGCTACATAAAGAGAATATATCTGGATCCAGCTGGAATTTCTCCATCAAGTAATCCCACCAAACGGGGTAAGTTCTGCCAGCGTTCCTCACATTTAAATAAGAGCTCTGTTACTAGGCAACACCATTTCTACACAAGGTACACAATAAATGCAAGAATGAAAACAATAACGTTACAGGCCTGATTGATGCGATGGGATACTTTTTGTATAGAGATATATCATTTAATAAAATACTCCTGCTGTGTGAAGTTAGCACATATCTCGCTAGCACTGTGTGAACAGTCTTCATTGGGTCACAATCAAACAGCGGAGGGCAGGTACATAGATGGTTTAAGTTGTGGATATTCCCAAACAGTTGGAAAGTGATCCTCCTAATTGGCCTTAGAGTTCAGACTGGGGTTGACGATTTCTGAAAGTTGTCCCAGAGGGGAAAATAAATCCACAGACAGCAATGTACAGGTTGGGAGAAGAGGGGGTGGGGGGAAATCCAGGGCTATTCTGAAATGTCGGGGTGTTAATAATATTATAAATAATAATAATCCTTGCATTTGATATAATACCATAATAATAATAATCCTTGTATTTGATATAGCACTTTTCACATCTTCGAGACGTCTCAAAGCGCTGAAGTCTTAGCCAACCAAGGAGCTTCACCTCCCACCTATTTTCTCAACATCCACAAAGCACTTCACGTCACTTCACAGGATATACGGTAAAGTGGTGTGACTGTATGTATTTTGTGGACAAACAAATGCTACAAAAGTACCAATATGTGTTAGGTGGGGTGTTTGAATTGTGAGAGGGTAGGGCAGAGTAGAATATGTGACCATTTCCTCAGCTCACTTTAGACCTCCCTTCATCTCACCACATTCCTTTGATGTTGCTCACTGGGATCAGGACATCCAATTCTTTTGAAAACCAGAAGCAGCAGCACTTCAGATAAGTGAGCTTCAGTTTGCAGTACTTTCATGATCCTTTTCATTACCTCGCAGGAAGCCGACATCATTTGCATGAAGCTGACATCATTTGCATGAAGAAATTACAATTCTGACATAAGTAGCTTGTGGTGCTCGTTTTGTGGTAGTGCAGCTACTACTGGTTTTGTTGGGAGGGTGGGGGGTGGAAAGGAAACATTAAAGGCCTAGACAATACCCTCAACTGATGACATAACCTAATCTTAGCAATGGTTGACTGGAGATGACTAGTCATTCTGGCGAGGCTTTGTTTTGTATCTGGCTGAGTGTTATGACTGATATCAAAATCTACAGAAAGAGGACTGTTGAAGCCTCACAGACTAGGTTGTTACTATTCAATTGGTTTATTATGTGAAGCCTTGAAAGATTTTCTCACTGCAAGCACTGCCTTTGGAAATACGTTTCATCACACAGTGGCACAACTCGACGCAATCCAGCAAAAGACTTTGGGAAAATAGTGCGTTTGCAGCTACTTTCAAAGTCATCGCATAAAGTTTTTTTAAAAAGATTTTTTAAAAAAAAGATAGTCTTTTTAAAAGACAACTTAAAAAAGACAACATATTTTCAAGTATTCTCTAACTTTATCAACTGTATTTTTATTCTCTAACTTTATTCTGTATTTCCTCCTCTCTTTCCCCCAAATATGTTTGCTATCTGGAACATGGGCTACATCAATTCTAGATTCCTTGAAAGTGAGGAAAGAAACCTTTATATAATCAGGGTAAGTATTCTGGAATAGTTTCTCATATTATGACTAGAAGCTCCATCATTCAACACTAATAATCCCCTCCACATTAAATGGGTGGCAAAAGGTAGTTACTTGAGGGCATCATTTAAAGATCTTTTTTAAAGCACTTTCCAAATTAAGACTGAATTTAAGAACTTTTCACAATTTTGTGCAACCTGGACTTCTAGGACATAATTTGTAGGACACTGCTGTGCCGAACTGGCTGCCATGTTAAGCCTACAAATTACACAGTGAATCAATTCACGTTACAGTATATCCTGTGAAGCACTTTGAAATGTCTCAACCACACGATGAGGCGCTATATCAAATGCAAGGTTTGTTATTATTATTACATCATACTAAGACTGGAATTTTGGGCCTCTTGTGGTAAACCAGGCTCGTCGACAGGACACACAAAAAAATTACCACATCGCAATTTCCCCAGGTTCAAATTTAAAAAATTCTTATGGGAATAAATATGATAATAAAATAACTTCATCCGTCGGATTTTTAATTAAAGGGATGATCCTTTCCAACACAGTCAAAAAGTATAATGTCCAAATTTCTCTAAAGACTGTGAACTGTGAAGGAGCTCGTAAATCAAGTCAAAGAGACCATAACCATGAGCAGGGTAGTCAGCTGAGGTCGATAATTTTCTTGGTCAGCTTATAGCTGTACTTTAAGAAGGCGGCAAAGGATTGTCTCTGTGGACCTCTGCCAAATATGCAGTGATGTGTGCCAAAACTTCCTCCTTGCTGACTGGAGCCCTACCTTCACTTGCAGTCTGATCAACCCTGCATCTTTGACATAAGGCTGGCCATATTGAATACCATTGTTGAAAACAGCCATCTGCCATGTTCGGAGCACTAGGTGATGGGGGGGGGGGGGGGGGGGGGGGGGCAGGGGTTGCGGGGAGGAGGCCATACCAGAAACATTTGCCAGTTATGAAGATTAGAAAAATAATTGGGAGAAGCGCTCGTTTTTTTTAAAAAATGCTTCAATTGAGAGAAATCTCAGGAGCTGCTTCTTTCCACACAGACGCTCCAAGAGATAGATCTTTATAATAATAATAATCCTTGCACAGTATTTGACATAGCGCCTTATCATGTTGTTAAGATGTTTCAAAGTTCTTCAGAGAATAAAATGTAAAGTGAATTGACTGTATATTTTGTGGGTGAAATGTCTGAAAACAGCAATAGCTGAAATTAAAGAATGTATAATTTAAAGTAACAGGTTCCTAATCCTATTTGCAACCAAGTTCACTATCTTAGCTCATTGTACTATATATGCCAAAGACCAACTAGTCATATATTAGCACTAGTGTTTGAAAGCTCAGAAACGAGGGAATTTAAATAGAAATATAAGACTGCTCTGTAAGTGATCCAACTTGGAAACGAAGACCAATTCGGTATTTACTCTAGTAGCATGGAAATGCTTGCGCTGCAAAAAAAAAAAGGATTATGGAATTTGACATGGAATAAGTTTTAATTTCTATCCCAAATTCTGTTACCTTTAAGAGAAGTGCATGGAATACAGACCCTTGTGTATTATCAAGATGTTATCCGTTGATCATTAAATATTTCACAACCAGGCTCGGTTGAATGCCTTTTAGCACAATATTTATCGCCATTATAGATCGGATAGAGTATAATTCATTTAAATTTATTTGAGTTAAGCCTGCATTGTGGGAGTGTTGTGCTGTTAGCCTATTTGATTGTGATTGACCAAACTCATTGGACTTCATTAGAAACCTTCACAAACAACAGTGAGGAGATCAGTATCTCATAAGCCTGGTATGGATTCAAAGTCGGAACCCAAATGTGAAAGAACATCATGTTACTCGTGGCTTGAACTGTAAAGGAACTTTGAGCACAACATTAAAACCCTCTTACTTGGAATTGCTTAATACGAATCTCATGATAAGGGAACAGACGTTCTATTATGCATTGAATGTACAAGGCACCACTAAGACCTCTGACTGGTCTACAATAAACACTTCTAAATAAATGATAAAGAAAGAAAGACACTTGGCAGTAAATTCCTCTTTGGAAGATAAGATTGCTCCGAATTGATTTCCTCTTTAATTTTGGAATGAAAGGTGAACGGGTACTTACTGACAGGCTGGACGTTGATTAAAATTTTGCCCGACTTGGTCGTCTCTCTGGAAATAAAGTCTCCCGTCACCGTCTTCTCGCTCTCTGTGACCCGACAGTGGTATTTGCCGCTGTCCTCCAGACGAACATGGTAGATTTTCAGCAGGTATGTAGTATCGCTCTCCTTTGCAAACCTCACCCGTCCCATTTGATCTCTGGATGCATAATTGCCATTTACTGTGGGCACCGCGTTACGGCCAATGTTAGCGATCTGTGTGCCGTTGAAGATCCACAACACTGAGAAATATCGGTCCTGAACGTTTTGAGCGTCGATGACGCACTTCAGCTCCATGGTGTCGCCAGCTGTGAAGAACCTGCCATCATTTTCCAACTGAACACTGAAATCTCTATCTGTGGGGAAAAATAAAGCTCGAGCTAGTACAGAATAATGGAAGCTTGGAGCTCAGGAGCATAAGAAATACGAGCCAGGTGTTTAGTTGGTTCGTACCCCAAGGATAACTCTGACATCCAAATCTGCCTACTATAATTTACAGGTATTTTGTTACTTCTCCACTGGGTTCTAAACGGATTGCATCCCACTAGTGGAATATTCCATCACTATTGCAGCTCTGACGCAGCTAACAACAAGATTGGTGGATGGGTAAAAGAGAGAAAACGTGAGTTACGTTCAGCCCCTGTGCTAGGAAATGGAAAAAAAATCAGTCAGCGTGTGGTGTGAGCAGCTATGATGTGCTCTGGGACGCTACCCCACGTGAAGTACAGTATATAAATGCAAGTTGTTGTTGTTGATGCCTTCCAACACCCACTATCTCCACTTAAATGTAAAAAAAGGCCACTTGGGTGAAGTAGAGTAGATAATAATAATAATCCTTTCATCTGATATAGCGCCTTATCACGTCTTCTAGACGTCTCAAAACGCTTCACAGAAGATACTGTAAAGTGAATTGACTGTACATTTTGTGGGCAAAACGCGGCAGCCAATTGCACACAGCAGTGTTCCACAAACAGTCGTGGATTGAGTGACCAAATTATTGTTCTTATTTTTTATATGAAGGGATTATTCCAGTACTGGGAAACCATACCCCAACAGGAGCTAATAATTACATGGGAGGGGGAGAGACAGGAGGGTAAGGTTGAAACAAATTAGGATTGGGAAGCAAAATAGCAAAAGAGATAGCCAACTAATCAGAGTGAGCCTCCACCACCTGATTGGATTCCTACTATGAATCCGACATCACATAATGTGGCATGTTGCTAAAATCCATCACAACCACAACACACTGAGGCGAATCTTTAGACCGCATTGAAGCATATTACATCCTTAAATCTTTCAATATAAATGTTGTCATCCCAGTTTTCCAACTGAAACATTACAACAATTTCTAAAACTGAAGAAAGGCATTCACATACTTTTTAAAAGCTAAATGAAAGTAATTTCATAGCGAGTACAAGCTGGGTTTGAATTCACCAGGGACAGGCAATCGAGATGCTTCTCCTCTGAATTTATGCAGTGAATGTGAGTCTTGGTACAAGCAAATTACACTCTTAGCACTTAGATCCAAACTATTATCACTTCACTAGTTGGCAATCAACTAGTTATTACTCCATAACTTTGCTTGTTATTGCATGCCTAGCAAAGTTCAATGCTTTCCCAATGAGAAAGTAATAACATGGACCATCTCAGGGCATCAATTCAGCATGGGATCGAATAGGAACAAACACCCATCATTAATTCTACACTACTTTATCCAATGGAATTTACTCCAAGGAGATTTGGAGGGTGGGGCAATTTAATTACAGATATAATACTGGGGTAAGCCTACCCAGTTCTTGCCACTCTGCAGCAACAACAATGGCACTTATATAAAAGCCTTTCATGGAGGTTAATCTTTCAAAGTATTTTTCAGAGATAGAGTGGAAAACTCAGCAGGGTGTGAAATAGGAGGTAAAAGGCATATGATTGACTAAAGGCATATGATTGAAGCGATGGTTTTAAAAGCAGAGGAGGATGCGAGAGGAGGTAATTTAGGAAGGTTCCAGAGAGCAGGAGCAAAGTAGCTGAAGGCTCAACTGCTTTTGATGGGGTGAAGGTGGTGGGAGATGTGTAGCTGGCCTGAGGTTGTGGAGTGAAGAGAGTGCACTGGTGAGCTGGACTACAGGAGATCTCTAGAGGGGCATTTAGAAGCCATACAAGTCTGCTGGGCAATAGAGAGCCTGTAGAACTTGGGGTACTGAGCTTGCAGTGTGGGAGAGGACACTGTCTGGCAAAGTAATAGATTGACTGGAGCTTCTGGAGGGCCAAGCCAGGCTGAGCGAAGAACATTAGAGAAATCCGGAGGTGATGAAGGCATAATGACAATAGGCTTTTAGGTTTTATACATGAGCTTTTTCATATCATATGGCAAATTATTGGGAACAGATGGTTATTTTCTATGCATTCATATAGTTCTCGTACTGATCAGTGGACCTGAAAAATACTCCCTCTGTAACAGAATGTCTTACCTACACCTTTTATATTCACAATCGTCTTGTCAGTGCGTTTGGTAGCTATGGTGTACCAGCTCTTGTCTGCGTCTTGGATCCACTCTCTGGCCTCACAAAAAAACTCTCCTTTATCGAAAGGCTGCAGTTTGTAGATGGTTAATTTGTACAAAGTGCCTCCGGTCTTGTCCAGCCGGACGTTGCCTGATGCCTGTCTCTGTCTGTACGCCTCTCCAGGACGCAGGATAAAATCGCGTGTTAGAGAGATGACCTTGAGATTCTGATCTCCCTTCTGTAGGTACCATGAGACAGCCAAGTGTGTGTGCTGTAAGGTTTGTTTTGACACCTCACACAGCAGCTCCAGAGAGTCACCTTCTACTTTACTCAGGGTCTGGGGTACCGATGTTGCACTGAGCGTGTCTGGAATGACTGCAAGAGAAAAAGGCAGAAAGCAACTACAGGTTACACACCACAGAAAAAACATTAACGTCTTGTACTCAAACGGTTGAGAGCTTGACACACAATCGGGTAGGAAGTTGGATAAATTTCACTGTTGGATGGGTAATTCTTTACAAAGATGGAGAAGAAATGTGGCATATCTTATCTTACTTCAATCTAATGCTGCTCAATTCAACCTCCTCTTTGGAGACTGTTTTACAGAGTATCATTGCTGTTCATCTCAAGAGCTGCTGTAATGTGCAGTGCCATACTATGCTCTGTGTGAAGCCCACTAAATGGGACACTGGGGAGAAATGAAAACTTAAATAATAGAGAAAGAAAGAGCTTGAATCTTATCACTTCAAAGTTTTTCACAAGTAATTAATGTCATATTTTCGTAGTCAAACACAAAATTAGATTTGCACCATCAATGTCCTACACAGAGCATTGAGATGAATGAGGATTATTGATCAGGACAGACTTCCTTCCCTTTTAAAATGGTATGATGGGATCTTCAACATCTACCTGAAAACAGGCACTTCTGATAAAGCATTGGGTGGAAAGTTTAGTCTATGTGTTCAATCCCGATAGGGGCTGAATCCACAACCTACTAACACAGAGTCAAGAGTCACACTCAAGTCTTGTTTATCGATTAAGATTTGACTTTTTTTTCTCTCAAATGCAATTGACTTTTTTGAAGTCCCTCCAAAACGCACAATGTGTAATAAGAACCATGTACTCATTATGGAGATCAAAAAGGATGCGAAAGACAGTGCAGTTACAAAGATGGCAGCGGCTGGAGTCAGCACGTTTCTCTTTAGATGGTTGGAACACCAGTCTAACCCCTTTCAATACCACTCTACAGGATAACAACTTAACTCAATAGATATCCAGTAAATGCACTTGAAGGAGCATTGGCACTTCGAGCGCGACGATATAAATGTAAGGGTGGTAGAGCATAATAATAGTCACTGGATTTGAAATAGCATCTTAGCCTGTCTTGAGACGTCTCAGAGCACTTCACAGGATTTTACTTTGAAGTACAATGATTGTAGGTCAACTGAGCCTGAATTTATCATGGTGACTGAATATGTTGTGCCTGATTTAGGTACTACCATTATTCAAAAAAGGTATTTCAAAGCACTTTTACACTTTTTGGGCTCAATTTTCTTTCAAATAATTTAAGCTTTTAGAGGATGTACAAATTGTAATTGAACCTATCTGCTTTGTAAATGGACAGAATATGTGACCTAGCTATGTGGGTGTGGTGGGGGAATCAGTTCTCGTTTCTGTCTTCGACGTTCAGTATCACCATTTATTTAATGCTTTCAAGAGTGCTCAAGGCCTGTTACTAGACAAAGCCCCAAAACACAGCTCAATAGAAGTGTTTTAATGAGTTATTCGCTGCTACAGGTTGGACATTCCTGATACTTTAAACACATATTCATTAAATATATCTAAGCATCTGGTATATTGTGGAGTGTGTCAGACTCTATTAGCAAATTGGATTGCATAAGCACTTTACTGAGTTACATCACAACTTCTTAAACTGTTAATGATCATAATAGCTCTATGCATTAAACACCCCAGCACAAGCTGAGTTCTGATCATCCACAACTGCTACATTAAATGCTTTTTTCTTCCTCTCTCTCTCCCCTCCGCCCACCAATATATATATTGCTGCTAGCTGTTTGAAGAGATTTATGAATATTCTCTTGTGGTTTTGAGGACTTGAATTATTTCCTGACTGAAGCCAGTTTGACTTGATTCAGAAAAATCCAAATGGGAGCAAGTAAGCAAATCAAAACTGGTTTCCTAGAGAGGTGCAGCGTGAATTGGGTGGAGTTTTCTTAAGTATGGAATTGATAAGTTGTAAGAGGCATAGACCTTATATTTCACACTTATATTTTCTTCCCCATCCCAGTATGTTTGCTCAAGTCAGTTAAAATGTAATCTGTTTCTAAATATTTCAACGAGGCATAATTTCTATCAAGTTTGTTCCTCCCCAAAGGTGGATGGCATGGATTGGGATCCAAGAAGAACTACAGAAAAAAATCTCAGCTGGGGAACAGAGTGAGATGTTTTGAGACTTAAAAACACCAAGCAAAATACTTCCATAACTCCTTCAACTGATTCCAATGATAGGATTGCCCCAAGCAGGGTAAAGTGAGTGGGTATTAAGACCTCTCTCCTTTGCTGGCAGTGTGACCAGTAAAAGGCATCATGTATTATGAGACAAAGTTACCAAGACTAAGTAATCAGACTCTCTGAAAATGTAGGATCCTATGGGATGTTTGTGTTCTGCGTGGCCACTAATTCTCGCTAATTCAGGCTATAAAACAATGCAATTAGTGTATAATTAACTAACAGGATGGTTGACACATTTGTGAGACATGACTCTTTACCCAGGGACAAGAAAATAAGTCATATCAGGATGGTCCTTCTCAAACAAAGCATTTTCGAGAGGGGAGATTAGGGTGTTGACTTACAAGAGCGACTGCACTAATAAAATCAACAACAACACAATTGCATTTATATAGTGCCTTTCACGTCGGGAGGATGTCTCAAGGCGCTGGACAGTCGAGGGTTTGCACCCAAGCTGGGGTCTTACCTGAATTAATATTGGGGTCTTAGTTTGGCAAAGCTGCACCTCTATCTGATACTGATATTGTTTGATGTATCATGTTGTAATATTAGCTACTGTACTTTTCGATGACTGATTGTCCTTTGAGCCGGGCTCAGTGTCCAAAAACGAACAGCCTGTTTCTTTGCTTCCAGCTCAGTTTCAACCTTCACTGTCCCCCAGGAAAAGTTTGGTCTCGCCTTTAGTACAACAGCCAATTTCAGCTGATGGGAAATGGGAGCTCATTGATTTCCAACTAGCTTATTGAACATCAATAAAGGATTGCTAATATAGGGAAGTGTCAAAATTATTTTTCTTCCAAATGTGTTTAAACTGGAAAAGTGGGTATGCCCATGTCAATGTAAAACCATTGTAAAATAATACATGTTCTAATGTTTTGAATGTAATGCTGTAACAAGAAAATGAAATTATTACAGTACATTACACTAAAATGCATTAAACAATTCTGGATAGCTCAGATATTTTGAGCATTGTACTTGGGACTCAAAAGGTCTGGGTTTTAATAATTTTGTGTCCATTCAACCTTCCATGCTTTTGAGATTAATAAAATTACTGCCAAGTCTACAAAATACTGTATATCCTTCTGCTGGAGTTAAGATGGGTGCCCTAGGGCTGAACTGGCAGCCAAAGAGACTGACATCTTAAAAATAAAGACAGAAATTTCTCAATCGTGTAAGCCAAAACTCTTAACAAGTGAGGCAGTCCTAGCTGAATAAATGATGTGCTGTGCAGTTACCATAACATTGATTGTACAATGGGTCAGAAATTAATAATAATTCTTGCATTTAATATAATGTTTCATCACATTATTGAGATATCCTAAAGTGCCTCACAGGATATACTATAAACCGATGTGACTGTGTATATTTTTTGGCTGAATGCCAATTAGACTTTTGGACACTGGACTTTAACTTTACAACTTCTGAGCAGTATCAACGTAGTTCCTTTAGGGCGTGGAATCAATTAGCGGCAAAAGTGCCAAACTCACTCAGCGACGCCATAGGATGACATTCTGGTATCATGAGATAACAAACATCCACTTTCAGTGGAGTGGAAAGATCTGCTGTACATGTGCTAATCACCACAATATTCTAGATGTCCAAGTCTAAATCCACATATCACACTTTGCTGGACACCATCTGCTCAATCAAAGTCCTTATGTTCAGGGCTTTGGCAAAGAGACAAATGTGTAGTGAGACCAACTCTACCTCCAGGGTGTAGAATGACATTTTGGCAATAGGCTGCCATGTTCCTTTCTTGCAGCTCAAAAAATAGAGTGTAGCTGGATAAATTATTTATGAATACTAGATATTAATGCCTCAAATGTACACAATGTCACAGTTTATTCCGCTAAAGCATTTAGCAATCTTCTGTTGGTACTTTATGTTTAGGAGTAAACATTTAACTTGAGTACGTTAAGTTGAACTTCATTGAGTAAACTGCATCTCTGTTGCACACATTGAGATTTGTATTCACATAGCGACATGAGGCGGGAAGTTGCCATGGATGCATGCACCTAGAAATGGATGATTCTACTCTAGTGTCTAAGTGCTTAATGTTTTTGGAACTACAATAGATGCAAACAAACTGTTCACGGTGGCTATCACAGAACTGAATCGAAAGGCATTGCTGCCTTGGGGAACTTAACAACCTTTTGACCTCACTTAGAGAAACCTCTCACCAAAAAACTATTTGCTATAACACCAAACATTTATTTTGCTGCAGACACGAGGGTTATACAATACATGGTTTACACGCTGAAAGGATATACACTTAAGTGCAATTGAGTGAATCATCTGCTGGAGGTATTTTGAAAAAAATCTGCACTTCCTGTCATTCACAGTCAACTTCCATAAACTGGGTTATTTGAAATTATTGATTGCTAACATAAAAATGTCAACGTGAAGGTCAGATCTTGGCTCTTTAATTATTAATGTGCCTCAATTTACCATGGACAGCATTACGATCTTACCTCAGCAGTACGGAGCATTTCATTTTTTTTGTGTGGTATTCGTTTCATGTTATTTGTGAAAAGCATCATTTATTTAAGAAGTAACCTCATTTATTCAAGAAACATTGGGTGAACTATTACACTGCACTTTTAGCACACCTTCCTCTTTTCCAAATGTAACGCCTTTCACATCGGGAAGGTGTCTGAAAGAAAGCACTTCACAGGATCAACAGTACATTTAATGTAAGGTAAGGTCAGAAATAAGCAGGTTTGTGTTAGTGACAACAACAATTTAGATTTATACAACTAATTGGGTCTAGGAATGTATCAAATGCTTCATTGCATTGTGAGGAAAGTGAAAAAATCCTATCCTTATGTTTTAGTTACACAGTTTAC